CAAATTCAGCACATGAGGAAAATATGTTTTGCTATCTCCCTTCCAGTCCAGGAGAAAGGAACACTGAAAGAAACAACCTTGCAGCAGAGAGAGAGAGAATTCAAGATTTTTTGCTGCAGCAGTGAGCCATATTTATCAGCTTCAAAAGCCACCTCCAAACCTCAACTGAAAGCAAAACTAAAACACTGCATCTGTAAGCCAAACTCCACCCATTTCTTTCTTCTGATAAAAAAAATTCAGGGAGCTCAAAGCTGGTTACCCATTGTTTCTGAAGCGGACATTCCAACACCTTTGTGCGAACACCTCTCTGCAAGAGAAACAAAACAGAACAAATCTCTCTTAAAGGCTCAGTACTATCACAGATAATTGTGATGACCATAATTATGATAATGGAGAAGCTTATTTGGTTTCAATATCTGTAAGGCAATGACAGCGGAGAACAGCACCAATTTGAAAAAAACACTACTCGATATCTTTATAGGCTTCAAAGAGTCCTCATGGATCTTTGTGAGTAGAGATGTACAATGAACCCTCACCATTCTTCATGCAATCATCCTCTTTCCTGTAAGAAACAACAGGCTGTAGTACAGTAAAGAAAAGCTACTTGACAATTAGCCTGCAAAGCCTATTGCCTTTAACAAGACATTGCTTATTGGACCATAGAAACTAAGTACAAGTTACATTGATATGATGGACATATTTAAAGAGACTGTGAGAAAGACCCAGATGTTAGGTCTTATTCCTTCAAGATACCGAGCTGTTTCCCACAAAGTCCATATGATTTTTTAATCTATTCATTCAGTAGATGTGAACTTCACTGACTGAGCCAGCATTTATTGCCCAACTCCTAATTGCTCATTGGAAATTAATGCTGAGTTGCCATATGAACCCTTTGCATTTACTATAGGTGCATCCACAATGGAAGTTCAAGGACTTTTATGTAACAATGCTGAAGAAGTGATTACAAATCAGGATGGCAAGTGCCTGGGAGGGGAACTTGTAGATGGTGATGTTCCCATATATCTACTGGCCTTGTCTTTCTAGATGGAGGTGATCATGGCTTTGGAAGGTGCTGTCTAAAGAGCTTTGGTGAATTTCTGCAGTGCAACTTGAAGATGATACCCATTGCTGCCACCCATCAGTGGTTCAGAGTGTGAATGTTTGTGGATGTGATGCCAGTCAAGTAGGCTGATTTGTTCTGAATAATGTTGAGCTTCTTGAGTGTTGTTGGGGCTGCACTCATTCCAGACAAGTAGGGAGTATTCCATCACACTCCTGACTTGTGCCTTGTAGATATGAGACTACAGGTGTGAAGCTGGAAAAGCACAGCAGGTCACACAGCATCAGAGGAGCAGGAAAGTCAGCGTTTCGGGCCGAAACATTTTGTCAGGACTCTTAGAGAGTGTGGAGCTGAGAATCCATAGGGAGAACCATTTCTGGAAGCACCTGATGTACTGTAGATAATGATTGTCACAGTTGAATTCAAATCGTGAAGGTTTGAAAGTTATTTGGAGTTCATGGGGGATGAGCTGGCTGCGTAGACAGGCACTGAGGAAGGAGACGTGGCTGTAGTATCGAGATTGCTTCAGAATGTGGTTGAAGAGCTTCAGGGCAGAGGATACAACCGGGGGGGGGGGCTGCAGTGGGAGAAAGACTCACTGAGCTCTCTTGAGAGGGAGGAGGAAAGCTTCTTTAAGCTGGACATCCTTCGAAGAGACTTTGTAGTGTTGGTTTTTAGTGACTTGGAAACAGGAAGGACTGCAGATGCTGGAAGCTAGAGTCTATAGGTGTGAAGCTGGAAATGCACAGCAGGTCAGGCAGCATCTGAGGAGCATGAAAGTCAATGTTTTGGCCCAAAACCCTTTGTCAGGAATGATGCTGTCTGACCTGCTGTGCTTTTCCATAGACTCTGACTTCCAGCATCTGCAATCCTTATTGTCTCCATTGTGCCTTGTAGATGGTGGGCAGGCTTTTGGTTGCGGGGGGGGGGGGGTGGTGGTGCTGTCAGGAGGTGAGTTACTCACTGCAAACTTCCTAGCCTCTGAACTGCTCATGTAGCATCCATGAAGAGAAAGTGGTGTTAGCATTTTGAGTCCAGTGATCCTTCTTCAGAATTTCAGAACTTCTCCAGTTCTAAAGAAGGATCCCTAGACTCGAAACGTTAACTCTGCTTCTCTCTGTTGAGTTTCTTCAGCAATTTTTGTTTTTCTTTCAATTCTTCAGCAACTGTAGTTCTTTGTTTAATTATGTTGCTAATTCAGTTCAGTTTCTTGTCAATGGTAACCCCCACGATATTAATATTGGGGACTTTAGTGATGAAAATGCCATTAAATATCAAGGGTGAATGGTTAGATTTTCTTTTGTTTGAGATGGCCATTACCTGGCACACATGTAACATAAATGTTACTTGAAACTTACAAGCCCAAACTTAGATATTCCCTAGATCTCACTACGTTTGGAGATGGACTGTTTCAATACATGAGGAGTTATGATTGGTGCTGAACATTGTGCAATCATCAGGAAACATCCCTGCCTCTGACCTTATGATGGAGGGAAGGACATTGATGAAACAGCTGAAGACGGTAGAGCAATAGGACAGTACCCTGTAGAGATACCTTGGGTTGAGATTACTGCCTTCCAACAACCATAGCCATCCTCATTTATGCCAGGTATGACTCCAGCCAGCAGAGAGTTTCTCCTTGATCCCTCTAACTCTAGATTTGCTAGGTCTCCATAATGTCACACTTGGTCAAACATCGGCTTTATGTCAAGTTCGTTCAGTCTTACCCCACCTCTGGACAAAAGCTGTTTTCTCCATGGTTGAACCAAGGTTGTAATGAGGTCACATACTGTGGCAGAAATCAAACTATGTGTCAGTGAGCAGGGACAATAAATGCTAATTAGGGTATTCTTCGGTATTAACCCTTTTAGGCCCTTATACAATCACAAATATGCCTCAAATTTAGTAAAACAATTGTCAGGGAAGTATATAGAAAGGATATAATCTTCTAATAAATTGTCTTCTTCCGTGAAAAATCATTCATGGGATGACAATTCACTGAAAATACCTTCACTTTTGGGATAATAATAATAATAATATGTATATTCCATGCATCTCTCTTAACATTTCTCTGCAGGAATTTTGAGTTTTTATTTCACATTTAAAGCGATTGCTTTTGCAACTGTTTTATGATCTTGTCAGATTGAGCCTTTATAAAGCAAGTTAGGGCTATTATTGAGATAAACAATCTCAAGGCACATTTAAAAGGCGAAAATACACTTCCATGCTTCTCATTATTCCCAATCACATAAGAGTTTCTTGAAAGTTGGCATTTCAAATGCATTAACCACAATTTGGTTGAAAGAGAAAAGGAACCCTTAACAGGGAGGTGCAAATCCTCTTCAGCTTCTCCTGACACTTCTATGTTTTAGAAGTGTTCTGGAACATAATCTTTTGCTGTATAACTTTGTCCAAATCATAATCCTTGTAACTTTATGAATGTCTGAACTACAAACCCACACCATACATAAGACTTTGAAGATCTGAATAATTCCCTTCAGAAATATATTTGATTCAAAATACGGTTGGCATGATGGCTCAGTGGTTAACACTGCTGTCTCACAGCACCAGGGAACCTGGGTCCAATTCCAGCCTTGGGCTACAGTCTGTATGGAGTTTTCATGTTCTCCCCATGTTTGCATGGGTTTCCTTCAGGTGCTCCGGTTTCCTCCCACAGTCCAAAGATGTGCAGGTTAGGTGGATTGGTCATGTTAAAATTGCCCATAGTGTCCAGGGATGTGTAGGTTAGGTAGATTAGCCATGGGAAATACAGAGTTACAGGGACAGGGTAGGATGGGTGAGTCTAGGTGCAATGCTCTTTAGAGAGCCAGTGTGGACTTGTTGGGCCAAATGGCCTGTTTCCACACTGCAGGGATTCTATAAAATGTTGTTATATTTTTCTGGAGTGTTGATTCAACCTATTAAAAATACCAATATATTTTATGCAGAAAATTGTTGTGATCACTGAAGCCTTATATTGTGAGGTGTATTCCCAAACTGAAGTAACAGAAATTGTTACATATTAAGGATTTGTAGCCTTTAATATCAGTGAATATTGTCAACTTCAGTTGGAAAGAAACCTGTTATAACTATTCATTTTGAAGCTGCTTCATAGTTTGTGTGGTTCTTGTTGTTTTGCGAAGTTTCGATAATCCACATGAATAAATTCAGGCTTTCTTGCGTGCAGTTGCTTGTGATAAATAATCGAGCGCTATACATGTATGTTGACCACTAATTGTGTAGTACAGTGTCCATGTTTTTCCATGCAACTAAATACTGCAGTGAAATTTTTTGTGGACTCCATGAAAGAAAAATGCTACATCAGACCCTTTCC